AAGTTCTATCATATATTTGTTTAACTTTTAACTGTACCCATTTGCTTTTCATATTGCTCATTGACTATAATGCCTATACCAGATCCTTTTTTTTTGTTTTTTGCTACACTTGACCAAAATCCTGCATATTTCTATTTGTAGTCTGTGTCAAGAATTTTTCTTCTCTTTCTATAAAATTCATTTCTGTGATCCCTAGTATTGTGATTTCTTCTTCTTCTGCCCAGTTTAGCAGACTATTGAGTTTCTATCCTTTGGTTTTGAGTCCATTAACATTATGACATGCTATTTTAATTTTCTTTCTACCTTCTTTTCATTTTTCTTTTAGTTTATTCTGTTCTGTTTCTGCATGTTCTTCTTTTCCTTTTTCTTTTCTACTTTTTTCTTTTTCTAGACAATTTGGTACTGTTTTTTCTTCAAATATTTTTTTTTCTTTTTGCAGAAATTTTTCAAGCTCCTTGTCTATTTCTATTGGTTCAATCATGGCAACTTTAGGAGCAATTGGCAGGAACTTCTTCTGCCAACTCTCTTGTCTCTTCTAGTTTTTCTAATCTTTTTTAGATTCAACCTAACATTTTTTTATATATGTGTTTTCTTTCTGCTTATATTTTGTTTGGTCTTCTGACTTCTGGTTATAGGCATCTCTTCTTTCTTCTGTTTTTCAATTCATAGTTTTGATATTTTTTCTTCTTCCTATCTTGTTTAAGTATATTTTATTTCTCTGTTCTCTTTCTCTACTTTTGCTATCTTCTACATCTGATGTTTGGCTAAATCTATTTCATATTCTACTTTCTTTTACTATACTTTCTCATCTCTTTATTTCTTTTTTTTCTCTATTTATCCAATATAGTCTTAAGTTATTAAACATAATTGGTTTTGATTAGGCCATCTTCATGTCTGCCTTAGTTACAAATATAACTATAACTGTTTTTTTCTGATTTCCATTTCTGTTTGGTAGTATGTGAACTTACTTTACTTCTTTACTTCTTAGACATCAAAAAAGTAAAACTTCTAAGGCATTTTTAGGTAGTTCTGTTAACTTTGCTATATATTTTCTTTGATCTTCTCTTGCTTCATAGTCTTCTTTTCCTATCAGTACTCATACTAGTTTATTGTTATTAACTGGTATAACTTATAGAATATTTTTTATGTTTGTTCTTTTTACTTTTACTATTTCTAGAGCTCTGTATTTAAATTTTTTGATCTCTACTATATGTACTTTCTCAAATCTCCTATAGATATATTCTAGTTCTTTTTTGTTTATATCTGTTAATAAGTTCTATATCATTAAGTAATTTTTATTTTCATACCCCTTATCTGTTTCACATTGACTTTCACTTGACTTTTTTTCTAATCTTAGTGGGTTGCTTCTCTCTTGTAATCTTCCTTGTCTATTTTTTTATATTTTTCTTTTTTATCTTCTTTCTTTTCTTCTGATATTATTTTGTACCAATTACTTTCTTTTTTACTGATTCTTTGTATTACATCATTTCTGCCATATTTGCAATCAAAGTCTACTTTTATCTATAGGTTTCCTCTCTTGAAAACTTCTTTAATGTCTTTGATATGTAAGTTGTTTCTTAATGACCATCTGATAAATTGTATATATTCTTTCTTTGTCTTTTCTGGCATATTATATGCTGGTATATTGGCAATTAAGTTGTTGTTTTGGTTGCAGCTTCTTTTACTAGATGCCCAGATCTTTTTTTCAGAGATGCTCCAACTACATCAATTTTTCTTTCTAGTTGTAATCTCTTTGTCACTTGTTCTTCTGTTATTTCTATTCCTAAGCTCAGTTTTAAGTCTCTTCTATATGTTTCAGTATTTTATTGTTCTTGCTTTTCTTGTTCTTTTACATCTTTTTTGTCAGTAAATATACTACTTTCTTCTTGTTTAGTACTTGCTTGACTTACCTTTATACTTACTGTTTTCTGTAAGTTTTCTATGTCATCTTGTATAATTTTCTACTTGTTTTTTCATTTTCAATCTTTTGTATTGCTGCATATGCTTTTTCTTAGTTTCTGTTTACTATTAAGACTTGCTATTGTACTTTTTTTTCTTTACTTTGCAATTGTCTTGTTATGAGCTCTTCTATTAACTCATCTTTATTTGTTTACTTATACTAATCTTTTTTTTGGTAGTTTTTTTTTGGCTTATATAATTATTTCTCTTGTAATATGAAGTAGAGCAATATCTGTTGGGTTTTGTTCTGTTAACATAGCAATGGTTCATCTGGATTGCAGAATTTTTACTTGCTTAATTAAAGAACACTTTGTTGTGTATGCTATTTACTACTAAGTATACTTTTTTGATATAAGTTAACATTAGACTTTCTTTTTGACTTTGTATGATATTTATCCTTTTGGCTTGTTATTAGTATTTTCTGATTATTTTTTGCTTGTTTTCAAATTTTTTATGTTGCATACTGTTTACTATCCTAATTAGGTTTGTATATGCATCTATCTGAACATATGTTTGTTTTGTTTGTCTGTTCACATATTGTAATAATCAACAGATCTACATTTTCAAGTCATAGTAAATTTTCTCAATTTATTTTCCAAGTTACAAGTAAAGTGTTTTTTGCTTCTATCTACTACTAAGTAACCTAGTTACTTGCTTTTCAACTTGCTATATCTCTAGTACAAGCTCTATCTTTTTTCTTAAGCCTTTATAGTTAATTAAAACAGTCATTTTTACAAAATCTTTCAAATTGCTTTTATTGGTTTTCATGTATAAGTGATTACAGAAAGAGTGTTTTTTTTTTATATTGAAATAACCTTTTTTTCTTTTTTTTATACATATTGTTATTGTAACTAGAGGTTAAAAAAATACTAAAACTAATAATATCAAAGTAGAAAAAATCAAATCAGACTCAAATCATAACATTGGTTGAATATCGATATAATAATGCTGCATGGTCAACATGATAGGATATTACTATAACCAGAAGGCTATTTTTTTATTTTTTGATGAGTTCCAGGTTTGTTGCTGTTTTTTAGTGTTTAGAGTTTTAGTGCAAATGAGGGTCTTAGCAATAAGAGACTGTTTTAGGGCCTTGTATACTTTAAAAAGTTTATCATTATTAATATTTTTATTTATAATTTTTACTAATATCTCATATACTTTTATATCTTTGTTTAGTTCTGCTTTTTTGCTTATTATGATTGTGTGTTAAGCTGAAATAAGAGTTCTTATATTGCTAATTATGTATTCTTTCTAATCTTTTAGCCTCTATATTATTATTTTAAAAAGCATTATTTCACATTTTATTATTAAAGTTAATTCTCAAAATGCTTAACATACTAAATGCAATAAGTGAATAATCATGTTGTTTTTGTATGATAAAGAATCTGGAAAAAAAGCTAGAATTTTCTGTAGTGTATTTTTTTATTAAATGTTTACATATTAGGTAGAGACTTTGTATAAAAATGGGACATAAGCAGATCCAGATATTTGTATTAGTATGATATCTGACTTCTGCATTCATGTCTTTTTTTAAAGTGACTTTTCAATCATGTTTAAACAAATCTCACCATGATGGAAGGTCTTGATTATAGCAGTATGTTTACCAAGTATATTCCATATCAGGTACTAATTCTTTTGTAAGAATTTGAGTTAGGTGATCAAGACATGGCTAATTGCAATTGTACTTATAAACATGCTTTAAAATATACTAATTAGATTCAGTGATTATGATAGTTCTGACTATCAGCATGACTTTAGATAGAATGCTTGGGCAAAAGCATCCAGTTCTTCTTGTTGTACCAATTAATCCATAGATACCTCCATATCTTAAAGAGTTTCTTTTGTTAACAAAATTGATAGGTTTCTAAAATGCTTTGATAATGGATTTGTTTTGTTATAAAAAAAGTATTTTTGTCTACTGGAATAAGTAAATGTAATATTGCATGTTTTTTAACTATTCTTAGTATTTCAGTTATAAATTTTTCAGGACATAAAGCATTTTGTTGTCTATCTAAAACCCAGGTTGTATTGATAAAGGCAAATTGTTTATGTGTCTCATTAGCTTTTTGTACAGAATATTGGCTTCTATAGGATTTTTTTCTTTTAATTTATGTTCTATTGCATATTCTACATGCTAAAGGCAAAGTTGGATTACTGATATCTGAGACTATGCATTCTAAACAGCAGAAATTTCATCAGAGTCTTTGTTCAGATGCACAAAATAATAATAAGACCCCTTCACTCCTCAAACTAACAAAAAATTTACTAATACATTGATCTGAATATATACAACATTATTAGAATTCAAAAGATGCTCTTCCAATGCTGCATATGTATTTACATACAAATATGCAAGTGAAACACTATACCTACCACAATTGATATTTCTGAAAATAATTCAAACCATTCTTGATTCATTTTGAATGTCAAATCAATATCAATTTCACTAATTTGATCTTTTTTTAAATTATAAAAAAATAGAGTTGTAAATCCAAGAGAGTGTACAAAATTATTCTCCTGATATTGAATAACTTTGTATTTTGCATTTTCTAGCTTTTTTTGTTCTAGAAAAAGTTTTACTAACTTTACTTGATTGCCTATAACAGTTATTTATAGCTTTGCTAAAAGCTTGTGTACCTAATAATAAACTTGCTAGTAATTATATTTTGTTAGGTCAATTAGATTTTTATTGCAAAGTCTTTTATAAAAATCAGCTCTTTATAAGCTATAATTGATGTGTTGTTTTATCTAAGCTATAGCACTCACTGGTAAATTTGTCTCTCTATATATAAGATGCTCATGGGTGATTAGATGCTTTATTGATATTTTAGTATGCCTCTTACATAGGTTTATTTTTATTGTTATAGTACCATTGCATAAATAGCATTCTATAGCAGGCCATACTTTGCTTACTTTTTTAATAAGTTGTTTATTCAATTTTGTATATTTATGCTCAAGCTTTTGTATGCAACCTAGATGGGCTGTGCATACCCTATATATTGGCTATTTTTTTTATTAATATACAAATTTTAATGCTCCTAATAATATTTTGATTTTGTTTGAAGAGGCATAACCAGAACATCAATAATTTTACAAAAATTTTCAGATTTATTATTTTGATTAAATTCAGGCATTAATGCATTCTCATTAACTAATTTCTTTTCAATCTTTACTTTTACAGAAAATTCAACATAGTTATTTTTTTTTCATTATCTTTAAAGTTAGCAAACACTAATTCTCAAAATTGCAAAATTATAAACAAGTTCCTCTTCATTATTTTCATCAGCATCAATTTCAGTTTTATCAACATCATTATCATTTAAGATCAAAAATGAAGTACTTTTAGCAATAACAGCTCTGATATTTTTTCTGCTTTGTTTATTCTGTTCATTGCAAGAATTGCATCTGGCAAATTTTAATATCTTATTCCTACTTTGTCTTGTAAATTTAGTGACCAGTTTAGTTTTTTTTGCAGCAAGAACAAAAAAATTTGGTTTCTTCAGCATTAGCAATGATATTTTGAGTATCCATTTTTCTTTTATTTTATTTGTATTTAATAAGTTTATTTTTACAATTTATGAATATTGCAATTTTAGTTTATGACTAAGGTTATTAGAAAAGCAAAATATATGCTAAGAATTGGAATCCTTTCTCAGTATTTATATTTCCAATCACACATTAATTCCCTTATAATAATAATGTGCAAGTGGTCATAAATTATTATTGAATCTATTATAAAAACAAATGCCATATGTTTTGATTAGTAGTTGACAGCAAAAATTGTTGATTGTAGCAATGTTATGCTGCAATTTAGCAATTTTTACTGTCAATTATTATTTTTAATGATCATGAAATTATTATGCTCATGCTATACTATTTCTAAACAAAACAGAAATTTCACAAACTGTCACAAAATAATTATGTTTATATGATATCATGTCTATATGAATTTTAGCAATATGAATATTATCCAAACAAGTTAATTAAATAATAAAGCACTTAATAGTAATAGTAATTCTAGTAATTCTAGTAGATACTATTTACTTCATGGCAGCATGAATATTATGTTCTAGAGTAGAATTGCACAAAGATTGCTTTTAATACAAAGTTTGCAAATTTAAATAATCTTGCGATTTTATAAAAATAATATGATAAAAAGTAATAACAATTGCTAGCTAACTTTGTACAAATATCATTATAATTTTATTTATTTAAAATAATAAAAATTTACTTATATTCATACTTTTTAATAAAGCTAAATTGCATAAGATTATATAGTATAAAAACTTATTAAATGTATATGCTAAAAACTTATATTTAATAAAATTTTGTTGTATATAAACATTAACAAATTAATTATATTTCATTATTTAGCTATATAAATTTATTGTGACTAGACTCTTTTTTGAATAGTAATTTAGATTAGTAAATGTTTATTCAAATATTCACTGAATTACTATCATCTGAATAATTATAAATTATTTGTTCTTAGATATAAAGCAGCCAACAATTGAAGTTTCATATAGCAAATAATAGAAATTATTTAAATAAATTTTTTTATTCAAAATAAAATTTTTATTTGTATTATTTGTCAAATAATTATTTGAATGACAAAGTTCTAATTGTAATACAGATTTGAGTCAATCAAAGATCATACTGATTAGTCAGATAAAAATTGATCATTAATCACATGATCATGACATTTTTTTATTATAACTATTTTAGTAGTTTTGATTGAGTAAATGTGTACTACAATTTTACTTAAGAGTATAGAATAGGTTAAAGCAGTAAAAACTGCGAAATGGTTAAAAGTTATAAACTGGAGACCAAAGGCTATTAGTATAATTTTATTGATGAATTTAAAATATATAAAGTTAATATTTTAAGACTATATATAAAATGATGAGCTGAACAAATTATATAAGAGTTCAGGACAGATTGTCTTAATAAAATAAATAGTATAAGTATTTTTGACAAATAGATTTTTTAGTTAATTTTTGTATAATAGATTTGCAGAAAGAGTTTTAGTAATAATATAACTTCTTTATTCTATTATTTAGCCAAATTTATAATGATATTACTATTTTGTTTTTTGATTCTTCTTTTATTCTGCTTTGTCTAAAAGAAATCTCTCTTTTTTTTTCTATAAGCTTAGTATTCATTATTATAAATTTTGATTTGGATCTATTTATTTCAATATCATTGGTTTGAAGAATTCTTCTGTGATTTCTAAGATTTTTAATAGTTGCTTCTTACTATTTGCAATCTATATAGTGTCATCTGTAATACTATTGTAGCTTGTCTATAACTTGTAATAGTATTATTATATGTTTTTTCTTTTATTTTCTATTCTACTATATAGCTAAGTGTTTCATCTTCTTGAATTCTTTTCAGTAATCGGTCATAAAAAAGCCACTATATTAGGAGTAAGATTACTTCATCTTAATCTATTTTATTTCTTGTTATTATTTTTTCTGTTAGGTTGTATATTGTAATAACTTTTAATTATCTTTTAGAGAAAAGATTCATTATATATTTTCTTTATTTTAATTTTTTTGAGTATCAACTCTAGGCTCTCTAATAAAACTAGGTTAAACACTTTTTTCATATCTTGCAAAAGTATTCATATTTTTTTATTTTTCTCTTGGACATCTTCTATTATTATATTTAAAATATATATTAGTTGTTTTGTTGAGTTAGCTAACAGGTCTGCATAATTTGGCCCTTTGAGTATCTGTTTCTTTATGAATACTTTATCCAGTTTTTTCATTATTACTTTGGTAATCACTTTTCTAAAAGTCTCAATTAATGCAATTGGTTTTATATTATTAATACTATAGCCCTATTTAATGTTTTTTGAAATTGCATATATGTACTATCTTCTACTTGCTTTGTATTTTATCTTTTTTTAATATAAGGTCTGTGAAAATTCTAAAGATTTTTTGTATTTTTCTATTTGCATGTTTGATTAATATATAACTTATATCAGATATTTCTGGAACTGTGTCTGTTTTAAGTTTTCTTAGTATTTTATTTTATTTTTTCTTATTTATTTTCTTTTTTATTTTATCATACTATGAGTTATTAATTCAACTTCTTGGCTCATATATCTCTTTTCATTCTTCTGACATTTCTTTTAGCTTGGTCATCTTTTCCTAAACTAATTTTTATAATGTTCTTTTAGGCCTGCTTTTATTATATTAGGCTTTTTTATTAGTTCTTCTTTTTCTTCTTCTTATATTATAAATAAGTCAAGAACTATCTTCTTATATGGTCTATTAAGAAGATTCACAATCATTCTGTTTATATTTTTTTGAATTTGCTTTCTTTATAACTGCTTCTATTCTTTTTTTTTTTTAAGTATTTTTTGTCAGCTTTTAATATCTTTTATTTAGGCCTCTAACTACTATTTGTACAATTTTTGGTAACATTACTCATATTTTTCTTCGATTACTTTGAGTTTTTTATTTATTTTTTCTTTTTTTTCTTCTTTTGCCTTTTGGTTCTTCCTTCTTTTTGTCTTCTTGATTATTTATTGCAGCTCTATAATATACTTATACTGCTGTTGTTTTCTTTAACTTTGGCTTTTGTTTATCTTTGTATTAAAACCTTTTTTTTCAAAATATATTTGTTTGTTGCTTTAAGTATAGTATATTTTATTGCTTCTTATATATCACTTATTGCATTCATATTGCAATTAGTCTTAAAATTCTCTTCTAATAGTTATTTTATTGTTTTTTTTTATTCTAGCTATCTTTGTAGTTCTGCTGCATATTTTTTTCAATTTTCTTGCTTTACTTTATTATATAAATATACTGTTCTTGTTTAATCTTTATGTTTAACCTCTGTTTTGCTATTGTTTGTTACTATATGTTTTAGTCATATTTCTGTAGTCTATCTTGTAGTCACTATCTGTCAGTTCTTTTGCCTCTTCTATTTCTGCTTTTTACAAATTTGATGTGAGAACTTCTGATATTCATATATAATCTATTTTTATTGCAATATCTTTATTTGATTATATATATGTTTTTTTGTTAGATGAAGACTTCTATACATATCTGCAAACTCTTGTTTTTTGAGTTAGCTGAATATTGATAACTTTTTGTAATCTGTTATTTTTGGATGTTGTCTATTTAATATATTGTCTATTGTATGGTTGAAATCTCTAAGTATAATTATTTACATATTCTTTTTTTTCTTTAAAATTAGTTCTACCACTTTCTATTGTATGCTTCTGCTAATCAATTTATTATTCAATAATATATAATTCCTATTACAATTAGTTCTAATTGTTTAAAGTATATTTGTATTTCTATCATATATTTACTGCTTCTTCTTACAACTTCTCTATGCTTTTCTTATTTCTCATATATTAATATTCTCATATCTGATTCTTTTTTTTTGTCTTATATTATACTAGTTCAAAACTTCTTATATTGTATATTTAGGCTGTATAATAGAAACATTCCTTCTCTTTCTATTAGATTTATCTCCACTATACCTAGAATTATTATTTCTTTTTTTTTGATCTACTCAGATAAATTTTCTAACTTCTATCTTCTAGTCTTAAGTCTATTAATATTGTGACATACTATTTTAAGTTTTTTTTTAGTTTTTTGTCTCTACTTTTCTTTGAACTGATTATTTTCTAATACTATTATATCATCTTCTTTTTCTTTATCTTTTTTACTTTTAATTTTTATTGGATAAGAAGGTTGTTTTAATTATCTTTTCTTGAATATTCTCTTTTATTTTATAGGAATTCTGTAATCTTCTTATTCATGTTCGTGTTTTCAACTATGACTACTTTTAGAAATGTTAGGCAAACAGAGTCTGTCTTTTGCTTATTATCTCTAACTTTTCTAATATGTCTTGAAGAATCTTTTCTTGAAAAATTTTTTTAATTATTTCAAATTGATTTTTAAATTCATATTTATAAATTTTAATTTTATTTAGGACAAGTAAAAAGAAAATATCTCTAAAAAATCAAAGAAATCTGATATTCCAAAAACTAATACTCAACTGTCTGTTGATACATTACAAAAATTTGACATGCCTGATATTTAAAATATATGAGTGAAACTATCTAGTTTGCAAAAGATAAAAACTCAAGATTTTATTGAAAAATTTAATGCACATACTAACATGTTCTAAATATTCTTAATTGTTAAATATAATTATAAAACAAAATTTGTTGACATAAATTATTGCTACTTTAATGCTATAATTAATAATGTATAGTTTGTAAAAATTTATTTTAAAATTATAATCTGTAAATAAATGCTGAATTTATTAAATTCGAACTGGATTCAAATAAAATAAGTCATAATTAAAAGCAATATTAATAAGCAGATATATTAAAATTCAATTACAATTCTACTAAAGAAATGATCAGATATAAACTTGCAAATATGTATGTATGTGCATATGTACTTTACAGTACATATGTACAAGATACAATGTCAATATATGAAAATTTTGTTTAGTCATATATTCATTTTGTGTA